ACAATTTACTTCCGAACTCCGAGGGCCAGTATTTCACAGGGTTAGCTACACTGACTCCTTGCGATCGTGCTACAGCACGAAAAGTGCAAAAACGCATGATCGCACCGGCCCACCTAGTGCGTTCCAGTCTGGGTTTGAAATGAACATACGAGCTGACAGAAAAGCCTAGATGCCATTTAATTAGTGAAATTTTTGAATTATTCGAAGAAGTGCAACTTGAAACTTATCGCGAATATTTCAGATTTTGTTCTTAAATATGCTACTAGGCTTACGAGATGTTGATTTCGTCTTGCGCCTATTTTTGAATTATTAAAAGCAAGCTCAAAATTGTTTGACTGAGTTGAGAGCTTGCGAATTTAGCTTGGTACTGGTTGTCAGGCATTTTTTTGAGGTAGTGAACTTGAAGAAAAAATCACTTTAAAGTTAAAAAAATAAGAGAAAGGGTTTCTTGCTCACCGTTTTGGAACGCATTTTTAAAGTGTTTCAAACCTTATTTTCTTACGCCTGAACGAAAAGGAAGCATAATTGAGTTAGCTCACAGGCAACTTAGCTGATCTGATAGTTGCAATCATTTCGCCGGACCGATTTTAGAACTATCTGGAAGTGCAGTCGGCACTAAGTAACAGAAGTGGAGAAGTGAAAGATACAGCAATACCGCCTCCACTGCCACCTCCACCCCCTCCGCTTCGTGTACTCGAATCTTCGCCAAAGCGCGTCAAAGTTCGACCGCATTCAGAACCTATTATGAGTCCAGCTGAGGTAATAATTTTTTGAGTAAACGTTGTTTTTGTGAGATTTTACGTAAATAGTGTGTGCACATTATAACGCATCGTGGCGTGCCGCCTGTTCGCATATATGTTTCGGTCTTTTTTGCATAATATAGTTCTACAAATACAAAATTTGAGAAACTGAACTTTTGGAAACCTAGCCAATCAATTTTGTATTAGAACACAAGCATAAAGTTAAATCATAACTTCTTTCTATTATTTAGTCTACAATTCCTGATTTATATTTGGGCTGATTCTATAAATGAAGAGAACCAGAAGCATCACAGATCTTAATTTTGAGATCAACTCAGTGCCTGTGTTGCCGGTGCGATCACGCGGATTTGCAGCTTGAAATTTGCTTCCTATCTTTACTGATTTCTGATGTTTTCTCGCCGGAACTTCACGATTTTGTTCTGCCATCCGTATGTGAGACCTAGGCCTTCCTGGACTATGTTTTTAAAAAGGTAGGGCCATAAAAGAATTAGGAACATTTTTCAAAAGTTTCAGCTTCCTAGCTTCTCTTACTACTGAGTTGGAAAAGATGCGAGCTCGCCAATAACTTGTGATGTGGTCAGACTATGGCTGAATGTGTTTAAGCGTCTCGGCTGGCTACTTCATATATTAATAAGTGGCGGTACCTGCTAAAAAGAAGACGACAGTTATTCGGAACAGTAAGAATGAAGATTGACAAATAGATGCTGTCGAAGCAGGAGACATGATGTAACCAGTATATGGATAAGATCGGGAGCATGCAGTACTTTTCTGTGCGATCCTTTTGATTTTGGTAGTGGCAGCTACTTGCGTGGAATTCTGCATTCAACTAGAAATGCTTCTGTTCATTAGTTCAGAGCTATTTTCGTTCCTAATTTTAGCCTGTGGATACAGACTCCGATTCAGAATTCGATAGCGACTCTCATCCACTTCTATCAGGCAAAAAAGCTGTTTTGTGTGAAGAACAGTCTAAACCGTGTGGGCATTATGCGTTTACAAGAAGATATCGTGCGATTCCAACGGCGGTTGCTACAAATACTTCGTATGTTCATGAATAATTTTCATCAAAATTTTCATTTTCGATACGCTGGTAGAGATTTCAGAATTGCTTTGCAATCCTTAAAAAACTGACTTCCGAAATTCTTTGCTTTCTAGCAATCCATACATTAATTGGCATGTTCTGAATTCGGTTGCAGACTATTGAACGAACGCAATTTGAACAGTACAGCAACAGTCTCAATTGACAGTGCCATTGGCTCACCGTTGTGGTCAGCGGGAACGACGTGTGCTCTGCCAGATTCGGAGGTCAACGACCAAGGAGGATCATCATCACTCTACAAACGTCGTTCAATTAATGGGCATTGGGTCTATCCGGAAACACAAAAACCTTTCAAAAATGTTGACGGGAGAAAAAGCGTGGAGAGTGGTGTGTATGGCAATAGCCCACTGGGTGGGCATTATGTTAATGTCAGCACGCAAGAGACATCAACGGAAAAAGGTAATTCTCATTTACAAATGATTAGCAGTCATGTTAGTACGATCACGTGTTTTAATGCGATTTTGCATCTTATGCAAATGCAACCCAGGCTGGAACGCACCGGACGGGCGCGTGCGATCATGCGTTTTTGCACCGGACTTGAAGTACTCAGGTCATTGATTGCATGAATGGCACTGCTTTACACCTAACTTTTGCGGCCACTAGCATAAATGACCATAAATTTTGCAAAGTAAATGTACAATTTTCACTTAACAGTCGTTCTTTAAAAGTAACTTAGTTGTTCAGTGAGAAATTTTTTCGCCAGGACTTTTAAGTGACCGCAGGTAAGAACCACGCATACCTCAAGCCGAATCTGAAATACTTAAACTGTACTTGTATAGATGGCATTCTCCCAAAAGTTCAGCTTTGTAGCTTTCCTAGTACCCGAGCTACAATTTTCTCCCTAAAATTTTCATACATTCTTACGTGAATACCACGCATACCTGGGGGTTGATTTTGAAATCTTTAGCTAGTACAAGCACAGGGAATATCCCTACAAGGTTTCAGCCCCTTAGCTCGCGTGTTTCTCGAGATCGCTTTCCCGCCAAAAAATTTGCATATTTTTTTAAAACGTCCGTACTCGGCA